GGGGGGGGGGGGGGGGGGGCTTTGTCTCAGTAGAGTGCACCGACAACACAAATGCTTAAAGCCAATTACACATTCCGGTCGATTCGCAAATGCTTTCAACTGATATCTCTTAATGCGGGTCATCCGAGTCCTCCGCGCAGCCTGATGGAGCCTGATGGAGGCTTCTGACTCCCTCACGCCGATGTGGGCTGCTCCGAGACAGCCAGTCTGTCCTCCAGCAGACCCCCCCCCCCCCAAACACAGCCTGACAGCGGGCTCTGGTCGACTTGATCAATACGTCCTCGTGTTAGTGAGAGGCTGTTATGGCGCGGATGCTCTCTCCTTCACATAGTCTTTGTTTTTCCTCAAGCCTGATTTAAAAAAAAAAAAAAAATTTTTTTTTTATTGTAGATCCGATTTAGGATCTGAGCTAGGGGTTGTTTTTTTGCCATCGACCCCCTTCACTGATGGATGGGTGACTCCGCTCGGAGCGACAGGGGTTTAAGATGTGGTTACCAGAGGGGATTCCCTCCCCTCTCCACGCAGAAGGAGGCCACGGGAGGCAGACTCGGGGATCGGGGGGCTAATGAGTGCATGCAGAGAGGTTCTGGCAGCGGCGGTGCTTTTGTTTACCACCGTCAACCACCGCGCGTCTGCTCAGGCTCCAGCCTCCTCACCGGCACAAATGTGTCTCCGTTTTTAAGACCCGGCCTTCACTCCTTTCCCTTTTCTGAGGGATCTCATCAGGAATTCCACTCATGCTCGTGTTTCCGTGGGTTGTTTTGCACATTTCACGGCCTCGGTGGTCTGTAGTCTTAATCTCGATGTCAGTTCCTCGCTTTAATAACACTGAGTGCAGTTCTGCAGACGCAGGTGGAGCCGAAAGCCTTCTCGTGTGTGTTTTGTCGAGCATTTTTTCGGGCTGTTCTGCTCTTTAAGAGGTGACATATGGTTTGGTTAGACTGCCGTTCAGCCCCAAGTCCCCTTTGTAGCACAAGTGGGCTGTAGGGCCGCGCTTTGGCCCTTAATCCTCTCAAAAGAATAACGAGGAGGAGGAAATAGCTCAAGGATGGCCGCACGGCGACAGCATTGCTCTCTTAATTACTTCCATCACACCCTTCTTCCACTCCGGCCCATTTACGTGCACAGCCCCTCGCTCCTCGTGCTCTCTCTTTAGCCACGATAAGTTGGGTAGAATGACCTCTGACCTCACAGTTTGCACTCTGAGGTTTTTTGTGAAAAAAGAAGAATTCCAGGAGAGCAGCCTTAAAAATGTATAGAAATAAAAACGTACATGAAAAATAACTGAATACTGAAAACAAAAAAGTTCAAGTCCAAAAGACGGTCTCTAACTTCAGGTTTGACTGTGAACAACTTCATTTTTGAGGATGTTTCAATATGAACATAGTTTTTTTTTTTTTCATTAACACTTTTTTTTTGGGTAAAATAAAAGTTACATCCAACTTCCTCCTCAAAAGAGGAACAAAGTCGGGACATAGTCCTAGTTGGCCAGAGAAATGCACCTTTAATGATAAGAAACGACCGAATATCTGCAAAGCACACAGCTGTGTTTTCATTGGATGGACGGGAGCCCAGGCTTTGCTGTTTTTCTGTGTGTTATTGCTCCTGCCGTGCAGCGACCGTCTGCTGGCCCATGGCCGTCTCTGCATGGAGCCTGCCGCGTTGCCCCTTTCTCAGCGTGGATCGAGCTCTTGTGGAAACACCCAGACTCTCCACAGGCGTTTCCAAGATGAAATCGGCAAACCGTTTTCGCTCTGCCGTGAAATGCGTGCGGTTCTTTCTTAAAGTGGCGCTCTATATTTTCATCCGTAAAGCGCCAGGCGGTGGCAGCAAATGCTTTGGAGTACACTTTTTGGAAAGTCCCAAGTGTAGAGGGAAACCACTACATGACTTATTTTTTAAGGTTAAGTGCAAAGGAAGGGCTGTTAAACCATTAGCGGTGTAACCGGCTTGTAACCGGATGTTTTCTGTCATCTAGGAGTTGAATAAGTGGAATTATTTCTGCTTGAGGTCTTAACCTTGCTCAGAAATGTGAATAATGAGTTTGAGTTGCTTTTGATAAAAGGAAAGCTTTAAAGCGCGTTTGTATCTCTTAAAAAAAACAAAACAACGCTTTTCCTTTAAAAGATCCAATTCATTTATTAATTCTTTTTTTTTCAAGCCCAAAAACAGTGTTTTTACTCTGGGCTTTTGGGGCAAGCCTGTCTTATTTTTTGTTTTTCTTTTATTGGTCGGCGTCTGCGAGTTTGCCATGAAAGAAAGTTTTTGTGAGCCAGTGTCTGTTTTCCCTCACGTGACCTCCTCTTTCCTGCCTCCCAGGCACAGGAGGGCCATTCAGAGGAGCCGGGGATCAAAGGTGAGAAGAGCGGAGGGCACCATGGAGAGTGAGCCCGGGGCCCCTGCCTCCACGGCCAGCAGCACGGGGACGGTTTCCACCACCTCCACCTCCTCCTCCTCCTCCACCAGCTCCGCCGGCACCACGGCCGTCAGCAGCACGGCAGCCGCCACCAGCTCCGCAGGCGGCCACAGCAGCACCAGCACCAGCAGCAGCTCCGCGGCCGGACGGCAGCCGGTGCCGCAGATCTCCGTTTACAGCGGAATCCCCGACCGCCAAACGGTGCAGGTCAGTCTGCCAGGTTTTCCTCTTACAGGTTTTCCTCTTTTCGCCAACCCCCTGCCTGGTGGCCGCACGATAGTTCACCACTTAATGGAAGATAACAGATCAGAGGATGGCCGCACAAGGCCTGGAACCAGACCCCGATGCTCCCCGGCCCTCTTTTTTTTGTTCCTCTCGGCTCCCTAAAAGCTAAAAGCATCTCTCAGTCATAAAGGGCCTGCCGGTCCCAGGTCCAGGCGGTCAGCAGCCGCTTCCTCCGCCGCGGCTAATTTCCCCCCTCGTACTTCGACCTGTGCGCCCGGACTGCTTTTGTGAAGCCGCAGATCGCAGGGCAACGTCCTCCGCGGTTGCCTGGCAACGCGGCAGGGGGGCGTCTGCCGGGGCGAAAGGTGAGGGGGGGTCAGAGGGTGACAGGAGGGTGAATCCCAGAAGGGTGAGAGAATGTCTGACTCCCAAATGAGGGCCTGGGTTTCGGAATGTTTGACACTTTTCAGGTGGGGTTTTTTTTTCACCAGGTGAACAGATTTATGGATTTGAAAGCATTTGAATGATTTCAACGTAGTTTTTTTAAACATGACAACTAAATCATACATTTAACTTAAAGGTATTTAAAACACTGGTATCGTTTTAGACCAAGAGCCCATTTATCAAAGTTTATATCGGAAATAGTTCAGCTCTTTTTTAAAAAAAATGGAGCTAAAAATGTTTATTTAATTGAATAATAACCTTTAAAGAAACACAGACGTCTCATAATGTCTTTTTTTGTAACGTCTCCTTTGATAGCAGATCTACCCTCCTTCATTTGTTGTGAATCAGCTGCTGACTTCTATTTAATCAGCCTTTCTTTGTCTTGTGTAGCTCACTGGATTTTTCTATACGAATTAGAACCAAAAAGATTCGAAGCCCGTTTGTTGAGCTTCAGAAGTAGCCAGACATTTGTTTCGGGTGGGATTGATGCTCAGGGGTTCGCACGTCTGTGATGGGAGAGGAGGACGGGACGTCCCCGGAGACGTTTGGTTTTTGGCAGCATCACTGATGGTTCTGTGCAGGATGCATGGGGGGTTGCTTTTTTTATTGTTTTTTTGTTTGGTTTGTGCTCGATTCTTTGTGTCTGAATCGGTGAATTTATAATATCCCTTACGTTAATATTACAGCTCCGCTCAATTAAAATTTAAACATGCAAATATATTATTTTCTTTTCTTGGCCTAACCTGTTCATGTATTATTAAATAACCGAGTGTGCATAATTTAGTGGACTCAAACAAGATTAAAACCATCTAATTGGATCTTTTTTTCCCTTTTTTGTTTTGCTGTGGCTTTTCATATCTTTGGACTAGAAATGAGCACTGCTGTGGATAATAAAACCTCAGTCAGGTTTCTAATGAAAAACCTATGCCTATGATAGAAAAAAAAACTTTTTTTCCCCTCCTACATGTATCGTACATGGTGACATTTTACCTCATTAATGTCATGAAAAACTCAAAACGTGCCTCCATGTCGCATGAGAACTGAACACTGAACAGCTAGCCGTGTTGGACTGTTGTGCTTCTGGAGAAATGGCGCTGATTCTGATGACTTGCTGGACTCATCGGGAGCCTTCCCAACAGAGCGAACCGAGCCGGGGGGGATATCTGGAGGAATAGCCTGTGACGACACAGTATTTACCTTTGTTTTCAGTCGTAAACTTTAGGGGAACTGGTATTGTAGATTATCACTAAACCAGCCCTAACCTGTACTGACACTTGGCTTATTTCTCACCATCGATCTTGGGCTGAAAGTGTTTGGCTTCACGTCATTCTGACAAGGAAATTAGCAGCTTTGAAAAATGTTAGTGTGGACCGAGTTCTATGGAACACAACAAGAGTTTATCGGGACGTCAGTCCAGCTCTGCAAACTGAATTAAAAGAAAACATCTGTTCTCAGCTTGTGCATCCAGTAAAAACAAGTTGACATTTGAAAATCGGGAATAAATAAAAATGAAACGAGGTCGGCAAAGCTAAATGATATCACCTTAAATCTCAGTGACGTTTCTAATCAGATATGTTTTTGCAGCCGTTTCATTTCCTAATTGAAAGGTATGAGCACAGGTGCCGATCGTAGCGGCTATAGATCTGAGCTCGCCTTTACTCAGCGGCGTCTCCTTGCAGGTGTTCCAGCAGGCGCTGCACCGGCAGCCCAACACGGCGGCGCAGTACCTGCAGCAGATGTACGCCGCCCAGCAGCAGCACCTGATGCTGCAGACCGCCGCCCTCCAGCAGCAGCACAGCCTCAGCCCCGCCCAGCTGCAGAGCCTGGCCGCCGTCCAGCAGGTCAGCCCAGCCCCCTCTCCCCCCCTCCCCCCTCACGCCTGCGCCGCACGCCACGCCTCAGAAATGACGCGGCGCTGTGTCTGCCTCTGCTTCCTCGCGACAGGCCAGCATCGCCGCCGGTCGGCAGAGCTCCTCGCAGAATGGCACGTCGTCCCAGCAGACGGGGTCCGCCCAGGCTACGGTAAGGGGAGCTCTGAGTGGAGAACCCTAAGTCTCTTTGTGGGAAAGCAGCAAAAAACCTTTCTGACATGGTTAGAGCCCTGTGAACCAGCTCGGACTTTTGAGAACCTCAGGTTCTGGTCTCCCGATGGGGCCCAGAGTCAGAACTAAACAAGGGGAAGCTTCATTTCAGTTCCATGCTCCTAAAATCTCGAACAGTCTTCCTGAAGACGTGAGAAAGGCCCCAACTCTGACAACTCTCTTTAAATCCAGGCTGAAAAGGGTTCTGTTTAACACTGCAGATGGAAATTTAATGCATTTTATCTGCACCCTTCACTTTTTTATCTAATTTTTCTAATTGTTGATATTTTTCTTTTCTTGTTTTCTGCTTTTAAATTCTATTCAATTCAATTCAATTTTATTTATATAGCGCCACATCGCAACAACAGTTGTCTCACAGCGCTTTCCAAACAGAGCAGGTCAGACCCTACTCTGAAGTTAATTACAGAAACCCAACAATTCCCACCATGAGCAAGCACTAGGCGACACAGGCAAGGAAAAACTTCCTTTTAACAGGCTGAAACCTCGAGCAGAACCATGGCTCAGGGTGGGCGGCCATCTGCTTCTATGTGAAGCAATTTCAATTGACTTGTACACAAAATGTGCTATACAAATAAACTAGCCTTGCCCAGAACCAGCCCCATGACAGGGGGGGTTGTTAAAGCTAAAGTTTGATCATCCTAACATTGAACATTCAAATCACGGGGGCAGCTGTGATTAAACTTTCTGGAACTTACTGAGCCAAAACGGTTTTCCTATCTGAAGCGCGTCGATATAGACGCGGCTCAAATGTTCGTCTCCCGTAGATCAACCTGACCACATCGCCGGCGGCAGCGCAGCTGATCAGTCGGGCCCAGAACATCAGCTCCACCCCCACCAGTATCTCCCAGCAGGCCGTGCTGCTGGGCAGCCAGTCCAGCCCCACCCTCACAGCCAGCCAGGCGCAGATGTACCTACGCGCACAGATGGTGAGAGCACACACGCCCATACCAGCCCGCGAGAATACAAACCGACTCGGAAAATGAACTTGACTCTCTGTCGCCTTCTGCCCATTTCAGGCTCAAGTTTGTCTGTTGCGTGTCTGCCTCTGTGCTGTGGCGTGTGGTTTGATTTATGCTCACCGAGGCATCAGACAGGGAGGTCAGGATAATCTGCGCTCAGTATGAACCCAGATATTACATTTTTGAAGCTCGGAATAGATTTTAGAATATATATTTTTTTCTCTCTGAGGGTCTTTGGGACCCTTACGTCGAGTGTGAAAGGTTCAGCTTTAGACATGTGTGTCACTGTCAGAGAGGCTTCTCTTTCCACCTCATTAGGATCAAGTTGTCAGATGTGAAGTCCTCCGAGAGGCAGAAAAATAAGCATTTGTGAGACACTGTGTGTGTACACTGTTTTCCACAGGCTTTGGTTCAGCCCTCCACATAGCTAAATATCCACTGATCAGTTAACTAACGAGTCTGCTTTTTCATTAACGCCCAACAGACAGAGATCGACTACAAATGACGTCTGTTAATCTGTCGACGAAAAAAAATTGACAAAATTTGTAATTTGTATCTATTCATATTTATTTTGTGATCACTTCCAGGCCCAGCAAAGCAACCTGGTGCAGGTGGCCAGGAGCCTGGGCCGAGCGGTGCCTCTGTCCCCTCAGCTCATCTTCACCCCGGCAGCCACGGTGACGGCCGTCCAATCGGAGAGCTCCGCGCAGGCGTCATCACAGGTGGGCTCACGGCAACGATGTCGCTAAAAACGACTCCACTTCAGCTCCTAACGGGGATGTGAACCAGCTAAATATTTTCCCTGAATTCGCCCACGCTCCACTCAAAACATCTGCGTCCAGAACCAGGCTCAGAATCTGGCGATCCGCGGCCAGCAGGGGGCGACCACGTCCTCCACTCAGACTCAGACCCTGCAGGCGCTCAGTCTGAAGCAGAGCCCCGTGCCCATCCAGCCCGCCTCACTGGTCAAGAATCCCAGCCAAGGGACTCAGGCCTCCACGGGAGGCAAAGCCAGCTCCTCCGACAGCCTCTGCGACGGGGGAAAGAAGGGGGACAGCTCGGCGACGGAGGTTCGAGCCATCAACATGAGCCGCAACGTCACGGCCGTCAGCGCTCAGCCCCTGATCGCCCCAGGTAAGAGGAGCCCCGATCTCTTAAAAGGGAACCTTTAGAAAAAGTTGCCCCTAACATCAGCAGACATCAGCAGAATACTGTCATCTTGAATCCCACCCGGATTAGTCTGTTTTTTACATTTCAGGCGCGGTAATCAAGCAGTTTCACTTTCCGACACGCAAACAGATCGACCGAAAAAATAATCTGCCTATCAACCAGCAATAGACCAATAGTGGCATCACCAGCTCTGATGGATCAATCGGAGTACCAAATTATACACAAATTATCAAATTAACCAGATCTGAGCATCGGATGCTCAGCTGACACACTTAAAACGGTTTTAAAAGCCTTTTTTAATTTCACTATGTTCTCTTTATAGATGGTTTAATTTGCAGCACCTCTCTGCGGAGAAACATTAGTAGACACTATCCCGGTTTTGGAAACATCTGAAGGCCTCAGTGCTCACAGAGCAGATGTGCTCCACGCCCACAGAATGACTTTTTCACGCCGACGGGGCCTTAGAGGGCATCTCCAACTTTAGCCATCGTCAGAAAGCTCCTGAATGCTGCTGCTTCTTATCTCCTGTTGTGGGTGAAAACGCAGCCTCATTCCACTTTCGAAAGTGTGGAAAAATGTATAAACAGGTTTCCTGTCACTTCTGCGCAGATGCTCATTGCTCCATCTGACGTTTGTTTTCGTCTCCGCCGGCAGATGAATCGAACGGAAACATTCTCTGCCAGCTGCCGCATGCTTCCAACCTTCAGCTAAAGCTGCGGTTTGAGGCAGCTGTCGGCGTGTTTGCAGTGAGATTAGAGGAGAAAGTATTACAGCCTGGCGCTTTTGGGATCTCTGCGCTGGCTGCTGGTGCGACGTGTCGGGGCTTGCCTCACAGATCCGTGGGCCCACTAAAGGGCGGAACCAGGCCTGCTGAAGGCAGCCATGGCTGGCGTCCGGGGTCGAGTGGCCGCTTTGTGAGAGAAGCTCTGCCACGCAATTGTGTTTGCGAGCCATTTATTGTGCAAGTGCACATCAGCAGCTGCTCCTTTTTTTTTTTTTTTCCTTTTTTGAGCGTGAATGGCATTGAAATTGCCAGCAGCTAAAGCTGATTACGTCACACCAAGTCCAGTTTGTTTGCTGGACAAAGTCCCGATGAGGCATTTCTTCATTCTTAAATAGGCTCCAGATGAGACGGCTGACTTCAAGCCACCATATCAGACTATTTGATTGACTGTAAACATGTCATAGACTGAATGTATAGTTTATTCATAGGGGTTTTTTTGTTGTTTGCTTACACAAATGTGTGTGTGTGTGTTTTGTGAAGGGAGGGGGAGTCGGGATTATCTGCGCGTGTCAGCGCACAACTGTGCTCTCGCTTTGTTTCAGTAATGGATTCACATAAAATGAAGGGGAGGATGGGAGCCGCAAATCTGGCTGCACACTGCTGTCTGGGAGGGAGGGAGGGAGGGGGAAAAAAAGAAGTTGGGTTGCCATAGCAGCAGACCACGGGGGACAGGTGCGCACATGAGATGTTACCGTACCGCTGGTCTACAACTGGGGGGGGGGCCCGGAGGACCAGCTGGGGAGGAAAGCTCGAAAAGGGCCCGGCTCTTTTTTAGTTTTTTTTTGCTTTCAACAAACCGGTTTTCCCACAACTTGGATGGCGATAGATGGGCCGGTCACACCTAGTACCTCATTAGCCATGCCTCCACTCTCTATAAGCACACGCTTTAGATGTGTAAAGGAAAAAAAGCCATTGTTACCATTTTAAAGAGAGTTTAAGTTTCTGTGACTTAGGGGTGTGTTCTATTTCGGCTTGACGTGACACTCAGCTTCACTGTGCTGGAATCCACCTGCTTTTTTTTGTTCATCGTGGAATTACTTTTGCAGTCTGATTTGGAGATTTTTTCTGCCACCTGTCTGATCAGAGTTAAGCAGAAAAGAAGCCAAGAGACTTATTATTGTCAAGTAGCTCAACAGCTCGCAGGTAACTTCACCTCGGCCTCATTCCAGCTCGACGCCACGCAGCCGAGAAATTTTGGCGAGCATCAAAACAATGAAAAGTTGAGCCATCTGGCACGGTGCAGCACTTGTCTATCAACGCCAGCCCTCAGCAAGAAAGTGCTAACAAATGATTGTAAAACCTCCGCAGGGAACCACCCCCCCAAAGAAGCAAGATATTAGCAGATTAAAGTAACAGATCTGCACATGTTTCTGTTTCTTGGCATAGCTGGAGAGCAGCAATATAAGTTGCCAGTTTCTCTAAATATTACAAACGGCTCTTGAAAGACAAGGATTTCTATACCTAAAGAAATAAAATGTTTAGCCTTCACCGTCCTGTCTGGTAGAGTCCCAGTGATTCTCTACATTTTAGTAAAAACCTGTGGGCGTAAACCTGGCTGAGTCATCTCTACTTTTATCTGTTTAGAGATGTCAGCATAGCTTTGGAATTCTTAGATTTCTTGTTGTTTCTGTGCCACATTTCAGTAGTTTTAAAAAGAAGCCCAACCTAACAAAGCGCTCTTGTCCGAGTGGATGCCAAAATCGGAGGAAATCCCTCACCTATTGTCTTTTAAAACGAGAATTTAGATGCTTATCATCCCTTCCGTGTGACTTGCATTTCTTCTCTGGACCCCCGCCATTTGTTTCATTGCTTTTTCTGCTTGCGTCAGACTAGAAGGCCTACTCCAGGAAACATCCGCAAATCCTGATTGAGTTTCTCTCGTAATGAGGACTAGCTACTTAACGCCTGCTGTTTCCTCATTCTTCTAAGTAACAGCGTGTTTGAGGACGGTCTGCCAGAGTGACGGCCAGGGTGGAAACTCAGGGATTTTCCAGGGCCTGCTGCTACAAATACTGAGAGGAATGTAGGCTCTCCTCACATTCAGGACATTGCACAACAATACACAGTCAGAGGTCAATAAACACTCATTTTGGGCAGACGCTAAAAAGATTGCATTTGCATGTGTGATGATGTGTGTGGGAGCGTGGGGCGTTCTTAATCCTAAGACCTTAAGGGGAAATGGCCATTACATGAGTTCCCTCTGTTCCTCCTCTTCCAAGCCTCTTTCTGTTCCTCATTAGAGCCTTGAGAAAGTTTCTGAAAATCGTGCGGAGGACCGGTTGTATCCGGCGTGTCGCGATTGAGAAATCCCCCTCCTCTGCCCATTCTGTGCCTGAGAATCTCACAAACCAGTGAGCTCTGGCTCAAGTGGGCCGCTGCTGAATTCCAGAGCAATTCTTTAACCATCTGAGCCTCCACGCGTTGATCACTCATGTCCAAGTGTTGGTTCGCTATGCTGTCCCTTTCAGGACAGGTCTTGTTTCCCTTTCCTTTCCACACATAAATCGTCTTGAAAAAAAACACAGGAAGGACGGTGCGCGAGAGGCAAACCTAACTGCTCAGTTAACAACTTCCTGACCTTTCCGCCCCCCCTTTCCCCCCGGCTTTTGAGGTTTTAGGAAGGTTGTACCGGTCCCTGCATTAAAACCGAGTGGCCTCGCCTGTGTCTCAGTGCACCAGATGTAAAAAAAAAAACGCAAACCGGCCAAAAACTACCCCGCGGCGCGTGCAGCGGGGCCTGTGGTGACATCAGAGCGGTCACAGCCAGCATTGAGCAGGCCGATGTGATTCCTGACCCCTCACTCCATCGGGAGATTTGATTGGCCGCTCAAAACTAAAACTGGAATTACAAGCACAGAATTCAGACTCCAGCACTTTCAGGGTGCTATTTAAGTTACACTAGGAGTTATGACTTATGGATTATGCACGGAAGCCTGGAAGTTCTTTGGCATTTTTGAGTCTTATTATAAACGATGCATTTGATCAAAGTTTTTTTTTTTTTAACCCAAGTGGGGATTTGGATAGGCCGTCTGTGTATGTAATGGACATTCACCGTGAGACCTCCTGGTGAGCTTTTGGCTACTCAGGCTAAAGGAAGGTGGTTTTAATTGAGCTCCGTCAGTCTTCACAGTCACAGATTCTCACAGAAGTTTGTGCATAACTTGCGTGTTGTTGAAAATTATACGTTCGGAATGTTGTGTTTTCTGGTAATATTAGCAGAGATGTTTGTGCGTCGATGCCACATTTTTCAATTTTTCCTCCGAACGGCACTTTGATTGCAGGAGTTACTCATTCGCTGATAGGGCTTAGTCATGAGAGCGATTTAATTAGCTTTTATGCTTCCTGGTGGATTTGTTGGAGGTCAAAGAGGCAGAGGAGGGGCTGGGACCCACTGAGTCAACATTAGCTGGAGAGGGGGCGTCACAGAGAGTGGGCTGTTGGTGTTTCTTCCTGAGGCACTTCTAATATTGGACTTGCCTGGGGCTACTTCCGCCGAACACTCACCCACTCACACATGCTGCGTCAATACAAGATTGATGCGCCGTGTGTTCGGCCTCGGGGCGAGTTATGAGCTTCTTTTGCCCCCACAGCAGCTCTGACAGGTGGTGACAGGCCGTTCTGAAACAATTTGTGGGTAATGGTCTGGCCCAAATGCGGCAGTGGGGCCCGTCTGTGCACCTTTCAGCGAGCTCTTAATGTTCCATCTTGTCAGCGAGCGGATCAGAGGTGACGGCAGCACGGCGAAACGGGACGCACTGTGCAGACGTCTTTATTTCTCGCCACTTTTGAGCCTCAGACGGAGTGTTCCTGAACGATTTTTCTTTTTTCTCTCACCTCACAAAAATGTGATGAGCGTCATCAAATGTGGTGATTTAAATGGAAGGTTCTATTTTCATGGTATTCTATTTGGTTTAAGCCCGTACTGAAAATACACTTATTCAATAAACTCTTGGTGTGAATACTGGTCTTTTATACGGCCCCCAGCCTCCTTGTTCACCACTGTTAACACAAGTTACTGTTCGTCTGACCAAAACCAGCCGCAGTCCCCCAAATCTCACTGGTACCCGTAGAAAATGGTTTTGGGTTCGATTTACTTTGGCATTTTTACTCCCAGCCGAACCGAACACTCCCTGGGGATTCATGCAGCCTCCATAGTTCCATATCTTTCAATATCATATTTATTTAGTCAACACAGCAGAGTTTATGTCGGTATTAAAACAGCTTAATGCCCAGCAATGAACATTATCGCCATGCAGTCCATTAAAAAACAGTCCAAAAGAATGAAAGCATTTCCACGTCAATTTTCTCAAATGAAAATCAGATAAATTAACTGACTCCTCATTTAAAAACAAAATTGGTGTGTTGAAATCAGCCGCACTTAACAAGCTTTATGATCTACCACGACATAAACGAGGAGCGGGGAAATCAAATGAAACAATTAAAGGTCAGGAATCGGAGCCTGTGTTTTTTTGACGAACTGTGAAGCGCTCATCTCTCTTGTTCTCTCTCTCTCTCCAGCGTACACCCAGATTCAGCCTCACTCGCTGGTCCAGCAGCACAAGCAGCAGCAGTTTGTGGTGCAGCAGAGCCAGAGCTCCCAGAGGCTGCAGACGGCCTCCATCCAGCCGTCGCAGCACCCCGTCCCCGTCCTGCCGAAGCCCGGCCCGCACCAGCCCTCCACTCCCAACCAGCAGGCCACCATCTTCCACTCCACCATCAGCCCCCACGCCCTCCACTCCTCCCTCAACCACGCCAAGGCTCAGCCCGTCCAGCTCACTGCCATCAACCTTCAGATACAGCCAACGGTACGTGAAGTTTTCTGCACGGTTGGCAGAAAATATGCCTAAAAGTTCCTGTTGGCCCACAAGAAAGGCATAGATGACGAGTAAAAGTCAGGCAGCTCGCATCGCATCCCAGCAGCACTTCTATATCTAAAGCTAACGTCATCATCGATGGGCACCTCGGGCTTTTTCTGAGCTGTTTTCTGACACATTTCTACCTGTAACAGAGGATGGATCTTTGTGGGGCTCCGCTTTTTGGAATTTCTGATACAGACCCTTTGTATTCGGTATTGTGAAAAACAAAAAGTGCTGTTCCAACAACACCCACAGTCTACATTTCTCCTCCAAGACGTCCATGTGAAAAAACACAGAAATCCTCTGCCTGTTGGAATCCTTGTGTCATATTTTCCTGCTGATGTGATGTTTTCCAAGCCCGATGGTTTTTAGTTTTTTTTAGTTTTTTTTCTGGGATTCACTGAGGGAGCAGTCCCTGTTGTCTGTAATCCCGACTGTCTCAGATATGCTTTTTTCATGAATCTATCCTTTTTGTCTTTCGTTCATATCAGGCCCCCCGGCTGGTTCAGGACAGTAAAGACAAGCCAACCTCGTTAGTGGTCAGAGAGACGAGTCAGACGGCGTCCACGCAGCAACAGCAGCAACAGCAACAACAGCAACAGCAGCAACAGCAACCTGCACCATCACAACCCTCCAAAGCTGCAGAGCAGCCCAAGCTCAACCCCCCCACACCACCCGCTCAGCCCCAAGGTAAAAGGCCATGAAGCTGGGCACTGCCTTATGGAATATTACACTCATACTGTTAGCCACTGGAAGTAGAAGATAAGTTTAGAAAATGTTATTATTGTTCCCACCGTCTAACAGACAGTGCATCAAACTAGAAAAATGACAAAAGCACATGAAGGCTCTGGCAGAACTGGAACAGATCTATCAAAGCTGAGCTTGGCTGACACTGTGAATACCGATGTGTTTTACAATTCTTAGGACATTTCTGGTTTTGCTTAATGTTCTAGTGAGAAAAGACTTTCGATCGCGCACAGTGGTTGTTGGGAAAGTGCTGTAGGACCTCTACATGAGGTCTACACCAGAAAGAATTTTAGGCAACTGTTGTGGGGTTTTGTTCTGACGATATTAAATAAGAACGACACTTCAAATAATTCCACGAGGCTTGTGCAGAACTTATCTCAACTATCTTTTAAGAGGAATATCATCAATCTAAAATAGAAGTGTTGAAGTTGGGAAACATCTAATAGCTGCAGGACAGCGGCTCTCAAGGACCAGAGAATGAGATCCCTGGTTTACAGCAAGGCTTTCAATATGGATTGTCAGATAAGTAAATCACATCTTCTGTTTGGTTGTGATATACCATCAGAAAGACTTAGCCAACACCCAGTAACAGTTTGTCCCTCTACCATAGTGTTGGCAAACTGGAAAGGTTTGAAAGGAAATAGTCTGTCATTTGAAAAAAAAGGACACACAGCTGCTGCATTTATTTTACTTATAAATGTCGTTTTACATGTATCTTCACTAAAATTCCATGTTTTCTCTTTGCCCTCCTTTACATCAAGTCTGAGGTCTGCCTCTGTAGAATTATAAGATGGATAATTGTAAGTGTAAAAGCAGCGCTAATGTAGATGAACTCCAAAGGGGTTTATACATAATTCGATTTAACACTTTTAGCTGCCTCTGTGGAGATATGGTCCCAGAGCTGTTGCTTTATTAGCACAAGACTAAAGGAGCCGGGGGCAGTTGTTCAGTAATGATGTCCGGCTGAACGCCGGATCCACTGTCCATAAAATGGTGCCAGCACCCGCCGTTGGGTCGTGAACTTTGGTGCAATTCGTGTGAAGGGCCGGTAACTGTTGCGGTCATCCAGCTGCTGAAGGGAGTTTCACTTCAGAAATATGAAACGTTTAAAGTCACAACGCTGCAACACATTAAAAAGTGTGAACAACCTCTGAGTCAGCTTTAAGGGAAACGCAGTGATTCATTTTTTTTTATTTAACGCTTGAAGTATTTAGTTGAACGTTGTCTCTGAATAATAAATGTTAGGGGAAGGAAAGATTCTCACACAGTTATTACGAAGACTTTTAAGCTTTTATGGTAAAGGGTTCCTCTATGAGCATACTTGGCTGTCATTCATTAGAAAACACGTCCTGTTCATGGTAAAAAAACAAAATGTTATTTGTATTAAATTAGTTCTGTTATCTGTAACACAATGATCAAGTTGCCCTGTGAGGGTAATGCCATCAAAATAAGTCGGTGTAAAGCTGCCACCTGCTCCTCAAAACATTTAAGTAAAAGGGTTTTTTCTGCTGGTATGTTGTGGAGGGGGGGTGGGGGAGGGGCCCGCAGCCGTGCCGCCTTATTTTCGGCCCTGCTGGAAACGAGCCCCGGGCCGCTTTAATCAACCGGCGCTCTGATGATGAGGAAGAGGAGGAGGAGGAAGCCGGGATAAAGGCAGACGTTTCCAGCTGGAGGCTGGACTGAATCGGTGCGCTGTCTCGGGAGGAGGAATCGGAGCCGCTGTGGGAGGGAACGGGCTGGGGTGGGGTGTGGGTGTGGGTGTGGGTGGGGGGCGGACCCCGGTCACTGGCGGCTCTCTTTGCGGGCGGAGCCGCCGCTTTAAGCCTCGCTCAGCCCCGGCAGCAGGTCCGTGCCCGTCGGTCCACCGGATCGTTGCGAGCGAACGATCCGAAAACCAGCGCATGTTTTCGGTCTGATAAGCCAGGAAGCACGGGGGTAAGGACACTCTCCGGGGGGGTTTGGGGGGGGGGGGGGGGGGGTTCAGGGTTTGCTTAGCGGGGGCTTCTCAGAGAAAGCTCCAGGCTTTGTCATGTTGGTGGAAGTGTTGGCCGATAGAGTTTGGGTTAAAGTGTGTCATTTACCGTCAATATGCAGGTTTGTTTAGTTAGGGGGCAGCAGAAATGTTGGAATCGGGAGCAGGCAGGTTGAGCTGACAGACTGGTTGACAGGCAGGGGGTCATGATGGAGCAGGTGCGCTCAAAAATTTAGACATTCAGTGCAAACACAAGTTTGCCTGGTTGCTTTTTAGTGTTATTCCTCAGATGTTTAAGCTTTACGTTTCCTTTTCAAGGCCTTATCTGATGATTTGTTAATAATTTAAGTCATTTGTCCTCAAAATATAAGCATTAATGCATGGTATAAATCCTTAGGTTTGTTTTGTCCATCTGAAATAACTCAACTTCTCCAGTTCTGCTTCCAAAACTGAATACAGAGTGTTTTTGCAAGGTTTACTTAAAATGAACTAATAACTGATGACTTCCTGATTGACTGATTAATACAGTTGTCAATCAAATGCCACCAATTGTACAGATTGACTTGGATTTCAGATACAAATGTTCAAGTTCAGGACTGTTATTACCCGGACCAATTTACAGCAGAACTATCTTTAATGTTCAGCTTTATTGTACTTTTACTCAGGCCTTTTCAGTGTACCGGCTCTTTTAAATGGCCGGGTTTGTTTTGTTTTTTCTCTCCCTCAGGCGGGGGTTCAGCCAAGAGGCCGAGCGCGGCTGCGGGGACCCCACCTCCAGCCATGACCTCCGGAAACGAGAGCGAGGCGCCCACCGTGACGGGCAGCGCGCCACAGAACGGCGAAAGCAAACCGCCGCAGGCCATCGTCAAGCCCCAGGTTCTCACGCACGTCATCGAGGGCTTCGTCATCCAGGAGGGAGCCGAGCCGTTCCCCGTGTGTGTAAGTGTCCGCGGGGAGCGCAGACCCCCCCCCCTCTGCCGCCGCTCGCTGATACGGCTCCCGGCGTCTGTTTAAAGTTGTTAATTACCCCGAGCTCAGCGGCTGTGACGGCGGCTCCATCCGTCTGCTGGGCTCCGGGTGGAACAAGCCCCCCCCCTCCTTCATGGAGCTCTAACAGAGGCTGGGATTTACCATGTTTATCTGAAGCCTCTGGGTAAAGGTGTTAACACACAGCATTGGGATGCAGAGGCTTTGGCTGCTCTGCCCCCTGCTGGACGTCTGATGTAAATGCTCAACAGATTTTCAGGTTGATTTAATTATTTTTTAGGAAATGTCACAGCTCTGTTGCATGTAAACTTCAAACAGAGACCTTTCATCCCCGCATCTCTGTTACCGGCAGCCCGAAGCGGCGTCGGTGTCGGGTCCGCTCGGCCGTTTCATTGCGTCTGTAGATGAAAAAGTGAAGGCTGATGAGCGGTTAGTTGTGCTGGCTTTGCTGTGGTCACATTGCTGCTGTCTGGGTTTGAAATCTGCCCCCAGGTGGAGCGCCTGCCCCTGCTCATCGACAGCCCGAAGAAGCTGGATCAGCAGCTGTCCTCGGACCCGGACAAAACCCCCGTCAGCAACGCGGCCAACACCGACTCCGAGCCGGAGGACGCGAGCCAGCCAGGTGAGGGACGAGCGGGTTCAGGGCTCCCAACGTCATGCTCAACCTGCTAGACTGCAGCCTCCACTCTCTACTGGGGTTCTAATATTACTCTGGGCTCGTTCTTCCATGCTCATTCTCTCAGAAAAATACAGTAGAACCTCTACGTACGAATTTAATTCGTTCCGGGACCTACTTCGTATGTTAAAATATTTGTATGTTGGTTCAAATATTCCCATAATAATACACAGTAATTCGTGTAATTCGTTCCACAGCCCAAAAACTTACCATAACTCCTTAATAAATACTGCAGATAATTACACACAGCAATGAAACAAATGCATAATAAAAGAGAGATGTAAAAAGAAATAAGTTGTAAAGAAAGACGGAGGAGACGGTCGGTGTGGAGTTAGAGGTGGAGACTGAGATACAGGATGTACCGTAACTTACTCTAACTTTCACTATGTGAACTTTAAACTAACTTAGCTTATTTATTTTTATTTAATTTTTATATATATTTTTTCATATGTTGGAAATTTACTTCGGGTGTCAAGTCGAATATTTGATTGAGTTTCACTTCGGATGTAGGAAAATCTGCATGTTTAGGCGATTGTAAGTAGAGGTTCTACTGTAAACCATAAAGAATGTCTTCAGATTAATATGGGTTACACATTTGGGAACATTAGAGAGGCTGATGCTCAGAGCTCAAATTTACTTGCTGATGTTGAGATGAGACATTTCAAATAAGGGGTATATCACATTTTACAGCAAGACAGTTCTTGTTCGGACTCCCAGCCAGTTCTGTCCATTGTAAAGTTTAAATGTTTCCACCAGGCACTCTCTGTCCAAAACATTCACGCATTCACAGAAAAGCTTTCCATATGCAGGTCTCCTCATGGGGGAAGTTTAGTGCTAACTGGATCGTGTTTTTTATTTTGGGTATTTTCCCCCACAGAGAAAGACGAGCCCAAGCTGACGTGTGAATACTGCGGCTGGGTGGACTTTGCCTACACGTTCAAGGGCTCCAAAAGGTTCTGCTCGATGGTTTGTGCAAAGAGGCAAGTCACACCGGGTTTTCTATCCCCCTTTATATCCGGGCCGTCCACAAAATCCAGCAGCCCAAAAAACAAAACAAAAAAAGGGTGAAAAGTGTGGGCTTTACTTTGTCTTGTTTTCCAAAACAGGTACAACGTGGGCTGCACGAAGCGAATCGGACTTTTCCGACCTGAGCGGAACAAACCGGCCAATCGCTGGCGTCGGAGGTCTCAGGGCCGTTCTGCTATGGAGGCCAAAAAGCGGGTACGGACTGACCTTCATATTTTATTGTTTTTATTTAAACTACCTACTTTTCACACCTCGTTCTTTTTTTAACTAAGCTCAGGATCAGACGTGACCAGCTGGAGGTCTCTGTCTGTCTGCGAGTCATTAAGCACCCTTTGCTGGTGTCCAGTATGAAAGGAGAGATATCTGTGGAGATTTTAGTTTTGCCTGCTACATTTGAATGAACCGAGTTCGTCTCAGAATGACGTTTTTTAATATGGCGATGGCTATTTACAGCAGAAATCCTCCTGGAATGACAAGTCATTTTACAGCATTAAAGGCGATAAATTCACCTTTCTTTCCCCTTCGCTTTAAAATCTGAAGTATCTTGAGCCATGCCTACTTAAAAGGGTAGGTTCCTCCAGCAGAGAGTCACTTTAAGGCAGTACATGATTCTGCAGTTGCTTTATCTGGAGCCATTATGCGGCTAAAACTTACTTATATGCCTCAGGTGTTTATTCTTTGTTTTTCTTTTTCCCCCTAAAGCTCTCCTGACTATTTTTTCCTCCAGAAACTGTCTCCTTCGCCCCAGCAACCCCAGGGCGGCTCCGTGTCCTCGCCGCACGCCTCGCAGCCCAGCCAGGAGGAGTCCAGCCCGTGTTCGGACATGTCCAGCTACGAGGAGCCGCCCTCTCCCCTGTCGGCCGCCAGCTCGGGGCCCCTGGCCCCGGCCCCGGCCCCGGCCTTGGCCCAGGTGGCAGTCCACCGGCAGGCCAGCCGGGCCTCGGACCAGGAGGGCTGCGCGGGACGAGACGCGCCCTCCCTCTGCGAGCGCTTCCTACCCAACGACCCCACCAGGTGGAACGTGGAGGAGGTGTACGAGTTCATACGCTCGCTCCCAGGTGAGGAGGCCGGCTGGCCAAAGCCTGACGCCCGCTGGGGTTTGGGGTAGCTGTCTCACTGAGCTGTGCTCCGCTCTGCTGTGTGCGCAGGTTGTCTGGAGATCGCAGAGGAGTTCCGCTGTCAAGAGATCGACGGACAGGCGCTGCTCCTGTTGAAGGAGGACCACCTCATGAGCACCATGAACATTAAGCTGGGACCTGCACTTAAGATCTTTGCACGCATAAACATGCTCAAAGACTCATAGCAGGAAAGCGTGTGTGTGTCTGTGTGTCTGTGTGTGTGTGTGTGTGTGTGTGTGTGTGTGTGTGGGAGGGTGGGGGGGCGTACATTTGTCGCAGTGATTGTAGAACTCCGACTGCTCAATGACCCGGCTGCCTCCACACTCCCGGACTGGTTCTTCTCCAATTTTACTCACTGTGGTGGAACCAGCACATGGATGAAAGCAGCCAGCTCAGTCTCTGCCTCAAACCATTTCCGACCAATTTCTGTTACTTTTTGCAGCTTCATGTCCGATGTTAAACATTTGATCTGCATGTTGTTCGGGAGGGGTGGAAGCGTCCAACACACTGGGACTTTTTCTCCGCTAAAAGAGGAGAGCTCGTTTGGCCTCCACCTGCCATCCTGAGCACGTCAGAAAGCAGGAAACTGTGGCTTTACCAGGCTCACCTGCCCGGGTCGGGTCATTCTGCAAGTCAGCCTCAGACCTGATTTCTGTCATCAGGACGAAACACCGGTGGCATCTGAATTTATCCACTGATCATAAATGTTTTTGTACAGTCTTGTTAATGTGGGTGGAGATGAACTGGCTGTGTGTGTGTGAGGCTGGGAACTGGAGATTGCAGCATTCAATTTCTCATTTTTAGTCAGCAGATGCTTCTCTGCTTTTTCCTCATAAGTTTCTCACAGCATTCGAATACAAAGCTTTGAAAGCAGAGAATCCGACCAAGCAGCCTCTTTTGTGGCATTGATTTTCCTTTTTAATCACCAGCTCTATCCTGTTGATTTAAACTGCGTACAAATTACTTTTCTTTTTCACATGCACTTCCAAAATGATTAACTACAAGATGACATTGATTTACCGTCTGCGTTTCATAGAACACTAATTTAACCAAGCAACAATTGGGGTCGTCTGCTCTTTTCACACAGAACCGCTCCACCCCCCCGCCCCCCATCCCTCTATTTATTTTGTCTTTATTTTAAAAATCTAGAGTGGTGTTTCTAAAGAAACACTGAAGTTTGTATATACATACCAGCTCGAGAGAGTAAAAGGTTTGAAACTGCCATGTTCAAGCTTTTTTTTTTTTTTTTTTTAATATAAACAGAAGCTTGATTTTAATTTTTTGAAATATGCAAATGTATAAAAACACCACTGGTTTGAGAGTTGTGTCTGTTATGGAAAGATTATACTGTGTATTTGTTTTGTTGGTGTGATTTAAAAAGTTAACCTTTTTTAGATGATTCTTTGTCAAACGCTTGTATTTATGAGGATGTTTGTAACATATTTTGCAGTCATAAATGATTTGCAGTACACTTATTTCCCCGAGTCATGTTTCTTTTATGCAGATGTGTTTTTAATAGCCTCTAACACCAAATGATCCTGCTGGTGCCAGGCGAAATCATTCTAAAACGGCTTTGTGACCACTTCTTGAATACCAGCATGTGAGCCATCTTTTGTTAAATTGGTTTGTGGTAGAACTGGCTCATATTTTAGCGTATGTTTCAAAGCTTTAATACATCCTCTGTGTCATCATTTTAGCAGTTCCCTGAAGGTCTATTGGAAAACTAGAAACCAAAGAACTATAAAATTAAATGGAGAAGTGCATGGAAAGTTTGAGACACAGATAAGATCACTGAAAGTAAAGTTTTGACAAAAGCATTTCAAGTGATCCAAACTAAGCCTCGACATACAAATGAGTACGAAGAAATTAACAAAAGCACGGACTGTCAACAGAAAGATGCTATTGACCAGCTGTATGTTCTGGAAGTCCCTCGGTTCATATGAAACAGGACATTTCCAGCTACTCGCGAGTATTTCTGGTTCATAATAGGCCGTTTGAACAAACGGAACGACCACTTTCTATTTTGTTTTCTAAGAGAAGGCGTTGAAAACGCGAACCCGGTAGAGCAGGTCTACTTACGGTGACAGCTCAGCTGTAACCGCAGGCCAGGGCATCCGGAACGTGCCGCAGTGACGTAAACGCTGTTATGATTTGAGAGAGGGCGAAACCAAAACAAGTGACGTCTTTTTCGGTCTTTCATAAATGTTCAAACGAAAGCTTGAAGATTCTATATAAGAGTTTGTTTTATGTGACGACTAGCCATGCATTTTCGTTCATGGAACGACTTGGACTCTTGACGCGTTGTTTTTACAGCTCCCCCATATTTGGAAAAAAATGGTATCGCCCAGGTTTGAACTTGAAAGTTGACGAATGCGATTTTGAAAGAGCAGGTTAACTGTTGCCGACTTCACATAGTGGGTCGCAACTTATTTTTCATGTTTTTACGTCTTTTGTTTACTACACCAGGACCAGGTAAGTGAACCTCCAAAACAGTGACTCCAGCTACTTTAGTGTGTCTTTGGAATATTATTTTGCCCTTAAGTCCACTTATGGACGAAAAAAATTGATGCCTCTATAATAAACCGGAGGCTGATGTACTGTATGTGTCCTAAAATATGTTTTGTTTTCTGACCTTTATACAGTCACAAATGAGTCGCTTAAAAAAGTGGAAACTTTAAAAATATATTGATTATTAAATTGTGATTATTATCCTTTTTTTTAACAAGTTTTATTTCATGTTAATAGATTATATAATAAAATTTCTGGGTGATGTTTTTCCAATGATTTTATTTATGTATTTAAAGAGAACGGGGGAAAATGTGTCCTATGATTTTTGTGTATTTGACCAAAAGGCTTTTTGTTTTTGTCTCAATGTTTAAATGTACTAAAATGTTTTTGGTTATTTAGATTAATAATTGAACAAATGTTTTTTTTCAGTAAACAAATATTGTCAGCTGTGTGGGCTTTAACCCCTAACGTTAAATGTCCTGGATTGTTGCAAAAAATGTCTGATCAGAGAGAGATGCCTGCGGATAATTCCCCGGCTGACTTTCCCAGCCTGGAAAAAGTTGACTCTCCAAATGGTATGAGGCTTTGTTATTATCAGTTTGTGTTTCAGGCACATTCACTTACCATCAGTAATTACCTTTCTACCAGCGCGGCAGTTTCATTATCTGTGTGGGTGTGTGTGTGTGTTGTGTGTGTTACCTGTCTGTGGAGTCAGGGAGCCCACCTACGGCCTCATTATCCAGTCTAATGGAGCTGGAAAATTGTGTTTCCAACCTGAGCCTCGCACATGAAATAGTGGTGAACAGAGACTTCTGCTTCAAACCCAGGAGCCCGTCTGCAGACAGGCAAGGAAAATAAAAAAAACTGTTTACCACTTCTCTGACTTAATTCTGCTGAATTCACTAATTTACTGATTGTTTGTCTCCCTTAGCCTGGAGGGCAGAGTGACGGAGATCGTTCACCAGGCATTTTGGGACAGTCTTCAAGAACAGCTGAACAGCGATCCGCCAAATTACAACCATGCAGTTGTTCTGCTGCAGGAGGTCAAAACTGTAAGTGTAGACTTTCAATCAATCTTTCAGCCTTCAGCAATGGAACATGCAAGCATTCAGGTCCTGTTGAGATGCACATGATACAACGATGATGTGGACAGTTTACTAGCTTCTTTAACAGCACATTTGGAAACTGAATGTATTTTATCTGCACCCTTCACTTTTTATCTATCTAATTTATTTTGTTTATTAATTTTCTTTCTTTGTTTTGGTACACAAAATCTGCCTTGCCTTCCAGTTTTCCAATAGCCGCCACACCTCTGACTGATTTTGACTTCGAGGGGGATGTTTCACATTATTTCTGACAAAATGTCAAGCATAGGCTGAAAAATAAAAAAAGAGAAAAACCACCCCCATCCTAACTTTTGATTTAGACAATGTGACTTTAAACGAGACTGAAACTGTTCAGCAAGAGGTGCCCGAGCGTTAGCCCCAACAGATAAAGGTTCTGTCTGCCATTAGCTGCTTTCGTCCCTGCTGCTGCCCGGTCACTCCAGGCTGCGGGCTCAGCTGGACGAGGTGCTGGACATGGAACTGATCCGGCAGCAGGTGGATCACGGCGCCTTGGACCTGCACAAACTGGCGGGATTCATCACCAACACCATGGCCTCGTTGTGTGCTCCCGTGCGTGACTCAGAGGTCAGGGCTTTGCAGGACCTCAAGGACCCTGTGGAGCTCCTGAAGTAAGAGACAAATCAGCACCCGGCTTGCAATCAGTGTGTTCAGCTAAAAATATTCCTGTAGATGTCTCTGTAATCGTGAGGCAGATGTAACCGTACACAAGTTTAAAATCGGAGAAAAAGGACTTCTAAATAAAACTAATTGAAAATAAGGGGGACTGTGGTCAGATTGGTGCCCCTCTATTGACTTTATTCCTTTCAGGTCAATTTTCCGCGTCTTGGGACTGATGAGGACCGACATGGTAAACTTCACCATCCAGAGCCTGAGGCCTCATCTCCTGCAGCAGGCTGCACAGTACGAGAGGACAAAATTCCAGCAGATTCTGGAGAAGCACCCAGGTGAGGCTTGATTCCAGGATGTCAAGCTTGACTGATAAAGTGACAATAATACATGCAAACGATGAGGTTCGTTTTATGGGCTGAGGGCTGAGCTAAAAGATTTCCTGGAAGCTCCTAGTTTTACCAGATTTGGACTTTGATTTATCTCTCAGGCTGTCAGAGGACAGCCTTCCTTTTGCTAAGCAGCAGCGTGGGCTCAAAATGTCCCATTTAGTAGTTTGAGCACAGTCAGTGTGTGTCTCTGTACGTGTGTTCCTAATTACCTAAGCTGTTAGGTGTTTGGCTACTGCTACATAAATAATTTTTTTTTAAAAACAATGACAAAATTATTCATCTGATTCTGACGTTTCTAGCCAAGCAGAGGAGATGAACTTCAGCAAAATAGAAGTCACATTGGCTCATTGATTTAAATTTCAAGATGTCCTTCAATTTTTATTACATGAATCTTTCAACGCATACAAATTTGTGGGTTTTATTTATAGCAAGTTGATATGGAGTATGAGCCTCCTAGCTGACCGTTTCGTTTGTAGCAGAAAAGATTCATTTAAAAGGTGTCTAATAAAGCGACAGCGGGTCATTTTGCGTATGTGTTTAAAAATGATCCATATTTCTTCAGCCTCTTTAGACAACACAGCCACGTGGCTTCAGGCAGCAGCAGAAGAGGAGGCGTCGGCGTGCGGAACCCGGTGTGATTCCCCCGGTCCTGACAGCCGAGGTCCCCCCAGCGCCACCGCCGTCCTCAACCGGGCCTACCTGCGCCTGCTCGGCTGGGACCCGCAGGATGACAAGTATCCGGAGGTTAGCGGCATCCGAACACGCATTTTTATCATTCAGGAAGATGTGGCCTGCTGTACGATGAATCCACAGTCACAGATTAACTAAAGGCACCATTAATGATCTTCACACCTCTGTAAATACAGTACATCATCGTTATGTTTTATTCATTATGACCGAATTAAAAAAAAAAGCTCTCAAATGTCCGATGTTAAATATTGAAACCGCTAATCCATCCTTCTAGCTCAGCGTTTGAACGCTTCAGATTCTGTCTTCGTACCTTTATCCCCCAAATGGGAATCCCCGATTTCCTTTTCGAAAGGCTCTTATTTGGGGTTTTGTGTGTTTTGCACCCAGACCGTGCTGATGGACCGAGCCCGCCTGGACGCTCTGGGCCGGCGGCTCCAGGTGCTGGTCCTGGAGGCCTCGGTTCTGCTCGTGAGCGGTTCGCAGTTCGGAGGTGTCATTTCCCCCCTGCGAGGGTTTGTAGGTAAACTCGGGCAGTCCGTCGCTGCCCTGCTGGAGGGCAGTCGCGCCAGGTAAGCGGAGGACGTGGTGATGCATGCGCTGGCTGTCAGGGGGAACAGGTATTGTACGAAGGGGACGTCAATAGAGGTGACAGGAGGCAAGTTTGCTTGTCAGAACAGATGCGGCTAACCTCATTCCTTCCGTTCAAGTGAAGTCCCGTCCCCTGAACTGTCATCAGTAGATGACAGTAAAACAGCAGCCTGTTAAAGAAAAGACCTGCCCAAAGTGGCCTAGCTAAATATTTAAAACGTTTGGTGTTTCGTTTAATTCAGTTATCTTTCAAGGCAACCCATTCAGCCTTTTTTTTTAAAGACATTAATAAATTCATAGGCCTGTGACCTCATGCACGTCTGCTAAATGGTCTGACATCAGTCTCCGGTGCAGCAGGGAAGCAGACCTGAAGGCGGCCATGTTGGGGCTTGGGGAGGTGGTGCTGAAGCAGGTGACTGAGGCTCTGAGCAACCAAGGAGGAGGAGCACTGCCTCAGGAGAGCCAGGATCTGCTGAGGGGACAAATATCTGACCTGTGGAGGCAAAACAACCCTGTTCGCACACTAATAGGTCAGTCATGAATCCAAAAGTTGTACATGCTTTTTTAAGAAAAAGCCCCTCTAGAGCAGAAATGGTTTATTTATTTATTTTTAGATAAACTAAATAAGATAAACTTTGAAAATAGCCTGCTATTCAGCGTGTTTCGTCCCCGGTCACCTCTGGCCTCCTGGAAGCTTTTAAACTTGGATGAGTTCTACTTCAAACCATTGACTTTTCTCCCCCCTTTCTCCCAATCAAACTCAGGAGAAAGGGTTCAAGACTTCCTTCTGGCGATGCTGCAAGGCAGCCTGGCTAAAAGGAGTCCGGAGCTGCCTTTCCCCCTCGGGCTACTGAGTGCCGAGCTAGCAGAGCTGGGAATGAACTTCAGGCAAATTGTCCACTTCAACCGAACGGTGTTTGGTCCCTTCTATGCACCCATCCTCAGGAAACTGCTGTTCCCGACAGCAGAGCATGAAACTGGGGAGGACTCGCGCTAAGCTAATGGTGACCAGAACACGAGCAGCTATTTTGGTGTCCGATTTGTCACTTTGGACGCACATATGGTCACATGTCACACTCACAAAAATGTAAAACCAGCCAGTTGAATTTGAAGTCCTTCTTCTATTTTTTTAATTGACATTTACAGTCTTCAGACACAAAATGGTTCCTTAAATGTCAGGACTGAAATGTCCAGGTGAAAGCATAAGGCAGTTACTTAATAGTTATAGTACATTTAAGACAAATATCTGTACACAAAACTCAAAGACTGGTGGAGGTAAAAAGCAACAGTCACAATTGTTCCGAAGAAGAGACTGGAAAGTAAAAAAAAACAAACAAACAGAGAAGGAGTACCAAAGAAAATCTTGTAAGATGTTGTAAAGTAGGACTTTGTATTAAGCTTTAATATGGGGGTGTTTTTGTGTTGACAAATGTTTATGAATGACTTACCAAAGACAGTACGCACTTTTTAATCATCTCTTTCTCTTCTTCTTTTATTTAGTTTTTCTTTTCTTGCACCTTTGATTATAAACCAAAAAAAAAAACATACTGAGGTGCCTCCTAAGTGAGGGTGTGGTAATAAAGGGTGCTTTAACTGTAAGCTAGTGGCAAAGTGATACATTTCTGTTTGTCCCACAGCCAAAACAGCACACATGCAAACCATTACAGGAAGCTCTGGGCAGAGCAGAACTAGTTCATCCTACAAGTCATATTTCATTCATTTTATTTTTTTATTGATGAATAATAATTATTAATTTTGTTATGCTGTTTTTTTTTTGGTTTTGTTTTTTGTTTGGGGGACAAGTTTTCATTTTCTTTATTGTGGAACAGTTCAGCTGTAGCCGGCAGTGAGCAGCTGCTCACAGCCCTTTGTATATAATTCACAAATTGTGTAATATTTAATATTTTTCTCACTGTTTGGAAAAGAGTTTAAATATGTTTATTTCCTTTTGATTTATTTTTGATTGCTAGAACCCTTAAATATATATAACTGTTGTATCATGACAATTTCCAACTTGTTTCCTTAATTAAACCTTGAGTTTATTGAAAATGACTGACAATAGTACTTGTCCTGACACATAACAAGCATACAAACTGATTTATAAATGAATCAGTACACCTTCTCCTGCAATATCTTCTGTTCTGCTGTATTTTTAGTTTAGACAGAGGAATAAAATTATGTTATTATCTTTCAGCTTTCAGATTAGATCCACACAGCCTTGCTGATGTGTATTTTCTGGAGACCAGCAAGCTCTGAAATAATGAAATACAACAGAGGCACAAACTGGGCTAATCTTTTGTTTAGATTAGAAGTTGCACCACCCACTAATCTCTTCAGCAGGGGGACACTCACAGAACAATTGTACAGTAATTATGTTGTCGCGTTGCTTTCAATTTCAAACTGCTGGAGTCCTGTCTGTTTTTAACCACTCATCCATGTAAAGAAAATCATTCCTGACAACAGACTTGAGAGGGTTTCTTTCGTCTTTGTATAATTTAATTTCATTAATATAATATTGCTTTGAAATTCGAAACAGTATCACATTTCCCATGACAAAACCATACTCTGTCCACAAACACGGGCATCGTATGCTGGTTACAGTTTCTTCGTTCTCTACATTTTGTCACCCTTTAACAAATCCCACTAAAACTATCTGCAATAGACCTGAATCAGTAGAAGTGCTCGTTAATGGTCTACAGTTTCTACATGTTACAGTACCTACATGACAAAGATCCAGCAGCCTTGCGGAGGCCAGGAAACAGGCGTGAGCTTTCTCAGGACAGGAGTGAATCACAGGTCCTGTTAGGCCCGCGATGTGGGACTGCAGGATCCTTTTTTTGTCTTTGAGTGGGGATTCATCTCGGGGGGCAGTGCAGGAGCAGGGGACACACAGGGTGAGATCTAAATGTCAGAGAAACGCTGGCTGGCCCTGTGCATTCTTACCTCCCGAATTTTATCTTTCTGCCCTTTTTTGTTTCTTTTCTTTTTTTTTTTTCTCTTTCCCCCAGCGCTCAGTTCGTTAACTCAACACGCGTAAACACACTCGCATCGGGCTGCTCCCCTTCAACTCACAGCTTGGTATCCGGAAACTTGAACGCTGGGGTGAGCTACACAAGGAAAACACCAAAGTTAAAATAAAGACTGGCACATGCACGGCCACATCATGCCACCAAAACTCGCTTTAAATAGCTGCTGCTCATTAAAGTGTAACGTTTTCATATTATGCATCCGTAGTAGAGCAGGTTGTCCTGGTGACACACAAAATGGAAGGAACGAACATGACGAAGTGCTGGCAAAGTGAGGACAATGGCAAGATGGAGGGATGGGGATGAGTCGCCCGTATTAGCGTGTACACAGGGATGAGAACATAAAAAGCAAATGGCAGATGAGTGAGAGGAGACCAGACGCTGCTACAGTACATAAAAAAGACTGCTCAGGCCAAGTGCATCAGAGGGAGACAAAAACACAAAAACACTGCCAACATGCATCATCAGTGGGAGCTAACAGATAAAAGAGTCAGGACACAGCCACAGCGCGGTTCCATCTAAACGCTCAGTCTCCAGACACAGCGTCTCGGGAGAAGAGCTCAATCCCTCACTTCTGCAGCACACTTAAACAAGGACAGCGGCCAGCGATGGAACGCTCCAAACTCACATGAGGACACACACAAAAAAAAACAAGGCATACAGCACACACGGTTACGTGGGAAGGAGGTGCACGGCGGGAGGGGGTGGGGAGAACCGGGATATGGGTCGACTCTGCCACGAGCATCTTTTAATCACAGTGCAGGAGAAAAAATACCTTTAAAAAATTGGTGCCAAGTTCCCAGCCGAAACAAATCCATTGGCATAAACACGACACCAGGACAACATTTAGATTTGGCTCTTTCAGTGCAGCAAAATTAAACCTTTTTACTGCTGTGACACGCTTTGCACACACAGTACCTAATTCTAAATTGGTGTGAAATAGATACCTACCCATGTAATCATGATATTGAGATGCTATATAGGGAATCGTGCACCAAATTGTGCTAGGGGCTTGTCAAAATATTCAAGTTAAAGTGTAAGGTACAAAAATAGGTGAAATGTGGGACCTCTGTACTCTCGATATCTTTATTTTGATTGTTTTTTTTTGGGGGGGGGGGGGGGTTTTTTTTTTTTTTTTTTTTTTCTTTTGTTTTTTTTTTTTTGGGGGGGGGGGAGTATTTGTTCTTTTTTTTTTTTGCCTCTGGTTGTTGTAATGTTGAGATTCTGTCCAAAAAGTGTTTCAGCCAGCCTTTACATATCAAAAACGTATCACAAAACGCACTAATATCCCCCTCGCACTGTAAGAAAACGAGATTTTTTTTTTAAAAGGGATAGTGCAGTTTCAACACAGTGCTTTTTGTTTGTTTTTAATGAACAAGAATATTTTGTGATTTGCAGGCTCTCAGCGCTACCATTACTGCTGACAGGCACTGGGCAGTACAAGGCCAAAGCAAACACTCATCCTGGCAAAACTGTACCATCATTCAGCCGACACCCTCGCAGTCAAGTCAGTACACCAGGAAATCACAAGTATTGGCTGTTTCTTTTTCTTTTCCCATTTTTTCAGTCTTTAGAAACAGGTTGGAGGCGTGCAGTTGTTGGGTGGTGGTGTTCAGGGGGGGCAAGAGAAAGGTGGGATTATAGTTGATTATAGGTAAAAGTAAGGTAACGCTGTTGTCCTCCTTAAAGAGTGGGAAGGTTGCTGTCCAGTTTCGGGGGTTTAACTGTGAGTTCAGACATCGGCGACAGATTGGGCACCAAATCCATCGCAGTCTAACTATGAACACTGTACAAATGACTAGAAAAAAAAGAAGGTCGTTTGCTGCATGTTGCTGTTTTGTCTTTCACTGATCAATTGTCCATCTTGGCAATCCCCCATGCTAGCAAAGCTGCCTCCGCATAGCGCCTCACAGTGGTAGATGCCTGGTAACACAGGACAGGCTACAGATGGAGAAAGAAAATAAATAAATCAAACCTGTCTTGAAAAAAAAAACATTATAAAAAAAACCTGATATCTAGTAAATTAAAAAATAATGTATTTTGTTTGAAAAGTTAAATCACAGTCATTTTATAGAGATCTTAAATCTGTGAGATAACAGGTGCACATTAAAGGAAAAAGGAATATACGTAGTCACATTTCTTGCAGAGAATTATACAAGAAGGCTGACATTGCACTCACATCACTGCAGTTAAGAGGAGGCTTTCACCACCTGCTGCTAAACTTAACCGTAGTTCAAGGTTTCAAAAACGGCGGGGGCCAGGTGACAAAAATGTCATCTGCACCAGCCTGCAGTGATCCACTGGGATCCTCTGCAGCCCAAATATTTGTGAAAACTCTAAGCATGTCCCATACCTGCTGCTAAAGCAGGGAGGAAATATATTTCCCAAGTAAAGTTTTTTCTAAATTAGTTACAAACCTAATAAACATGCTATTTTTCTGCACTGCATCACTTGAGACGTTTTGTTCTAATTTGCTCGGGAAGAAAGCTGAGCCAAAATTGACTCCCTACTATGTGTACTTTTAATTCTGGATGTTATTAGCTATTAACAGGTGGTGCCCGAGAGAAATAAATGTTCATTTTCAAAGCTTTAGCATATTTAGGTAAATTTTTGCTCTGTTCTGTTCTGTCGGTGGACTCTCTTTTGGAGGGATTCATGTTTCTTGAACCAGAACTTAAAAATCAAACAGCATCATAGTATTGTTATATAACAAATCCAATTGGCCTTGGGTACTTTAACATTTCAGACTGAAAGGAGACGCAAAACTGTATCTCCATTGGCAGAAACTTTGTATACATGTTACATTTGTAGATGCATATGAACATCGTAACCAAAGAAGTAAATCATGAAACCATCAGAATATATACCCTTGTATATATTATATCAGAGCGGTTACTGATCTTCTCATCAAACTCTCTGCAAGAACGTAAATGAGCACATTCCCCCAAAATGTTCATGTGACAGCTAAACACACTGTCCTCCTTAGCATTACACAAAACTGTAGATGTCCAACATTCCTGGAAATACTTGAACTTACAGTTAGGTCAAGCCAGTGTGAGTCTACACACACATCGCAAACTAAAGGTGAACATGCTCGTTTTTGCCTGTAGAGAAAAAAATAATGAAAAAAAAAAAAAAGAATAATAATAAAGATGCAACCTCTGGGAGCTATCGGGGGATTTTGGAGGCAGATGCAAGTTGTCAGGAGGAGGAGGAGGAGGATGAGGAGGAAGAGGCAGTTTGGTTGAGAGAGCAGGACCACTGTAAAATGAGATCAGTCCAGGATCGTCCGTTTCCGGGGGCTCGGCCATTGGCTGAGGGAGGCTGCCGGGGGTTTCGGGGGGGCGGGGGGGGCTCGGGGGGGAGCCACAGGAGTGTTTGTCATGGCAGGTGGGAGGTTGGTGTGGGTCTCTGGGCAGGGCAAAGGAGGGTGGTGCGGGAGTAGGCAGCCCTGAGGGACGCTATACCATCACAGTGAGAAGGCACGGGGCTCACATGTCTGTCTGTGTGCGCGTGTGTGTGAGAAAGAGTGAGAAAAAGGAATGAAGAGAACCGGATGCGGGGGGGAAGGAGCGTACGGGTGGGGGAGAGGGGGGG